CTAAAGGAATTTTGAGGTTTCCATAGGATGTATGATCATGTACCGAAAAATACCCTTCCATTATTTCACTGCAAACTAAGCACTAATATCCAACCACAACTAGTCCGAGTTGAATAAATAAACCCAATATCAATTATTGCGGACCTTACTCTTTAAAATTGGTAAATGCTCTTTCCACCCTTATATGTGCTCTCACACCACCGTGAAAAGTCACAACTACTCATATTATCCAGAGATGTATCTCTGGACCCACCTTTTCCACACACACCTCAGACGACACTATTGAGAGACCCTTATTCTATTAAAATTTAATTTGGAGATGATTTTCTGTATGCATAAAAGGTTAATCCGAAGATGCATCTCCGTACCCCCCCCCCCCCCCCAAGTTCAATATTCAGTGAGTTTTTCAAAGATGTATCTCTGGAATATGCTCTGTTAGTTCAAACCATAAACAACCAGAAACAATGGCAAAATAATGGAACAACAACATAAATTAACTTCAAAATAAACATTACATAGATAAAATTTAACGTTTACATAAATGTAACATTACATTTAATTATAAACGGGTGGTTCAGAACGTCACAACATCCTTAGAATATCTTTAGTCGATCTTGCAATTGTTGTGTCCACTTCAATCGGACCCTTTGTTGAGCAACGTTAAAAGGTAGTCTACATAACCTTTAAATCATCATTTGTCTTCAGTTCAAGCATGGTGAAACGTAACTTTCCTTCGTTGTTAACCAAGGGTGAACAGTGTTCAAGCTGGATAACCCTCTAATTTTGTAAATATCGTAGAAGAGTATTCAATTTGGATTTCAGATCGACGAGAAGTATGTCTTTGGAGACCCAAAATTAAAGTGGGGGTTTTGAGCCATTGAAATACACAAAGGCAAGATGGGGATATGCATTCATTCTGGTTTGTATAAAGAAAATGTAATGAGAGATCCTATTTACGGAGATGCACATCTGTATAGTACCTTGTTTCATTTTTTTATAGTTTAAAGATGTGTCCAGAGATGCATCTCCAAATACATCTTATTTTTTCATAAATAAGGGAATTTAAAGAGATGTACATCTGTAAAGTTTCATGTATTATGTTTCTTTAATAAGTAAAAGGTATGTCCGCATATGCATTTTTGGATCCACCTAACCCACTATTCACGCTGAACTAGTGCATTATGAAGTACATAGATTAGAAGCACAAAAATTGTCCAAAAATTACCACCAAATTTTATAACATTATATGGTGCGTTACACACACAAAAATAAGTTACATTGTTAGATTAAAATCAAATGTATTAAATGATATGTCATTACCTAAATCTATTGGCGATTCCTTCTTTGACCTTTCCTTATTTGTTTCTCTTTCATTGTCGCTCAACTTGATGAACTCTTCCAGCCTTTCTAAAAAGTGATTCAGATAAATTTCAGAATCTTGTGTGAAATGTATCGTCCACTCCGGTGATATTTTTAGTATAAGACATCCCGGTTTCAAATAAACCTGAACAAAATGTTGTGCTTTTGAAAGTCGCTCAATACACATGATGTGTTCGGATGAATTTTGAGTTGGCTAACTCTAAAGAGGAAAGAACGTTTTCGAGAAACCATATCATGGTAAATCAAAACACACTCTATCATAAGCACTTGTTATAAGATGTCCTATTTCTAGGAAGCGCATCCATTTTTTAAATGGTGTTAGACCACTAATACAAGAGCATTGAGAATTGCATCGTAATTTTCTTTGTTCCCGTATTGTTTTGTGTATGGTTTCATATGTGTCGTCAACTCTGGTATAAGACGATAGCGAGAAAATTGATAGTTGTCTTCTCTTTATTGAGTAAACCTGAAACAGCTCGAAAACCACAATCATTGTCACCTTCAACAGTTTCAATCCACTCAATGTACTTGTGCATAAAAAACGACATCTCTTCAATGTGTTTGATTTTTGGTAAAGGCGGTGGAAACGGTGGTTTGCTAATGCAGACGTCCTTGAAAATACTTTTGGGGACTTTGGAGTCGGAGAATCCGGAAAATGTGAGTCAACATGTTCATAGTGTGAAGGAGACTATTGCGTGGAGTTATCACTTTGTGTCGGTTTGACCTTTTTATGGGAACCCTTTGTTTTAACCAGTTCTAATGGTGGTTTCAACTTCGTTGTTTCTAGATAGGCAATCTCCCTCAGTCGCTCTTTAATGTGTATTTTCACGACGTCATCAGCTTTCATGAATATCTATTGGATCACTTTCCATTCGATCGTGATAGATATGTTTAATTTTCCCATTCGATCGTGATAGATATGTTTGATTTTCCCATTCGATCGTGATAGATATGTTTGATTTTCCATCCTTCATCATACCATCATCATCAAAACAAAGCATTTTCCAGTGACTGCAAACTTCATCCATACGTATTGATTTTCTGAGCTTAATCTTCTTTGAAATTAAACAAGCACATGGAAGATCGTACGTATTTCTAAGTGTACAATAACACTTTGAGCTATCTGAACTTATTTTATCTGCTCGCTTGGCTTTGCGACAAATAAAATTCAATGTCTTTCGAGATACGTTGCCAACCAATTATGAATAAAGGATGTTGTCTTTGAGTCGGTATTCTAACACAGTAATGCTCCAATCAAAAGATTTTTGTATCTCATTGTGTTGGTTTTTGAGCATTTGATTCACGGTGTCTCAATCTCGACAAAAATCACATTTACTATTTCCCAACCAATTCTTCATTCTAGCATGTGCAGATTCAACTATGTTAGTTGTTGTATTTCTGAAGTGTCAAACATGATCGGTCCAAGCACAAACAATTTTCTCTTTAACCAGATCCAAAATAGTGCCCTCAACATATTTCAGAAAATTTGGATATCTCGCACACACACTCCTGAAACGTATTACAGATTTAACATATAATTATTTCGTGGAAGAATTTATTATACCATTTAATACATCCATTATATTTTCTACTATCACACCAGGTTTGACCATTTTTCCATCTTCCAATTTTACTTGTTTAGTGCCTACCGCAGGTTTTACTCGACTTCTCACATTTTTTTATTCATCAATGTGATGTCATAATCGGTGATTATTACTTGTGGCGTGTTTTCTTGGTCCTTCAACTTAGTCTTGAACATTTCCAAAGCTCATGTAACATTGTCCTCTTTTTCAGATTCCAAAATATATCTCAAACGGTGACTTGATCCTCACAAACTCTATTCTAGAAACATATGTGTCATCTTCCAAAAGTTTCAATAGTTGTTGCATCTCAAATCTCGGTCCTCTTACGACCTTGTTGTTTCAATAACGCATGTTGTATACTTGCTTGATATTTGAAACATTTAGAGGTTTTTTCTATTTCAAAGATGTGAGTATGTTTTTTGGCGTCACCATGTTTAATGTCATGTCCAAATTATCTCTCCTCTGAAACAAGTCGACGTGTAATGGGATAATTAGCTAGCTTGTCAGTCAATGTATGATTATGTATACCGGAAATTATATTAAATTTTCATGTTTCATTCGTCATAAGGTGTTCGCGCAATTTAAACACACTCACATTTTCTCGATCATGTGCCATCTCGTTTCAACTTCCTAATTTGTGATTGGTACGTGTCACTTTTTTCGTATCTCATTACTACAAATGTATGTCTTCTATCCGAACCATTATCAGACCTTCTGATTATAACATCAAACCCCAATTTTCTGGTCTCCATGCCGACTCATTGTAGCATATGTTCACGAACAATAAACTCTTGTTTATTCGTAAATTGTGCATGAACATGTACCTTAACAACGATCGTTCGAACACCGATTTAACAACAACATTCACTTCATCTGGTTTAACATCATGTTTCACTTCAATCGATTTAACATATACTCTCACAATAGCTTTGGAAAACATATGCGGGTGCATCATACCTAATACAACAAATGGCAGAAAAACGGATTTTAAAACTCAAACTATCAGAACAATCTAGATATGCATCTTCGGACCACAACAAACTTTGTTCGGAAATACATATCCAAATTCAACGTTCCTTTTTTTTAGCTCAAAAATCAGATTAATTCAATGAGGAATAAGGGATGAAATAGATAAACTTTACTTGCAATTCCGGCTTCTTTTGCTCACTTTAATGTGATTGAGAATGAAAAAAAAAAGTTAAGAATTTTGAAAATGGATTGTTGTTTAAGCATAAAGAAGATCATGCAAAATAGTGCTTTATCCAATTTTCAACTTGATATTTCCAGATATGCTTCTCCAAAAATATCACTTTGTCGTTAATTAAATCAACTAACTAAATAGAAACACCCAAATGAATACTAGATATTTCAGAGATACATCTTTAAATACACCTAAATAATATCCAAAGATGCATCTCCATACCATATTATATTAATATTATATTATGTTCAATATGGAGTGAATCTCAAAAACATTCTAAGGTGTGGGATGCACATATCTAATGAGCATTTCCCTTAAAATATACATACGAAAAATTTAACATTCAATCATTTGATTAATCAATGGGGCGGAGGAAAGATCATGATTAATCACTATTGTAGAAAAGATTAAGATGCACATCATTTTGTATACGATTCTGAAATCATTCGGTCACAAATAACAAAACTGAAAAAACCCAAGAAATAATAGTATGAGTTCCACATTAAATGGACACATTTCATAAATATAAACTAAGGTATTCTAAAGATGAAAATTTTAATAGTATATGAACCTTTTTTGTTTCAACTTTCTAGAAGACTTGTACAGAAATAGAATTGCTAGCAAGAAGTGCAGGCTTATGAGAGTAATGTTATGACATGACTCGTGCCAACAGAGAGCAGTTGTGTGCACTGCAACTGCTACCAATAAATAGAATCAACTATGAGTACATGGCCATAGTCTTCCCAAAGCAATGTGATGCTAACTGAACCCTCCAAAGGTCAAAACTGCGTTAGTCAAACAGCAAAACAATTTTCTCAAACATGCCATCCAGTAAACTATTGATCTGTCACCATTTGATTTTCATCTTCAACTTTTGCATTTTTCTTTCCAGCTTGGGGTTGTTTGGCTGCGGAAAGGAAAATTAAAACAAAATTAACATCACAATAAAGAACCAACATGCATAAAGCACAGAACCACTAATAAGTACTGTTATAGAAACTAGTAAAAACTAATCAGAAAGGAAAGTTCCTAAGCTCCAATACAAAGCAAAGCTTTGATTCCTATAAAATAAAGCATTTTAGCTTTTGTTTGCCAGTTTATATTTAACTTCTAGTTCAGTTAAAACGTTCCTCAAAATTTTCAAGGGTTTGAACCATTTTAAAGATTTCCTTCAATAAGATTTCTTGTTAGATTTTGTACTGCACTTCTCAAAAGCTTCAACGTCTGCTCCTCTCTATTATCAAGATAACAAGCCGTTTGGATCCCTTCTATCTCTCTCCCACTCTTTTTTTTAAACTTAAGCCTCACTGACATCAAAATTTGCTACAACCTTCCAACGCACTCCTTGAGGTTATATAAAACAGCTAACTCACTATAACATAGACTAATCAGGTTGGGAATTTTAAAAACTAACCATGCAGGCAGAAAAGCAGTTCAAGCAATATGAGCAAGAAGGTTATATTCAAAGATGCAAGGCAGAAAAGCAGTTCAAGCAATATGAGCAAGAAGGTTATATTCAAAGATGCAACGTTTTCATCTTACATTTCAGACACGATCCAGCAAGACATGTCAGTCTTGACTGTGTCTTACACTCAGCTAGTGGATTTGGCTTCTCTGCGGCAGCCATGCGAACATCCCATGCGCGTATAGTCCCATCAGATGACGCAGATGCCACTAAGTATGGTTCATCATCCCCTGTAGCTTCATCACTGAGCACAACAATACCTTTTACACGTGCAGCATGGGCCTCTTCTATGCAATATGCAGCTTTTCCACTTTTTATGTCCCATGCTGTGATATTTCGGTCCTCACCGCCTGTATAGAGAAGTCCATTCTGCAACATAGAATGAATTTTGGATGACGAAAACATTCATTAAACAAACATATAGCAGTAAACAACTAAACATTAAAACTACCACTATTATCCAGTAGCAGCTATATCGATTTAGCATTGCGGAATTTGAACAAACTGTTATTGTTCCACATTACAAGCCAATGGCCTGCTTTTAATTAAACAAACAATACCCTATTTAGTACAAAAATGTTGTCAAAAAGTGGAGCATTAGCACTAAAGCATGGCAGAATTTGAACAAACTACTATTTTCTAGTATCCACAATTGACAGCATTGATAACTATACAGGACTGAACATAAAAACATCTGCACAACATATAGTTTACTTCACCAACAAAACTGACTAAAGACTAATAAAAATATGTTCCATCTGTAGGTAGCTGTATACCTGTAGAAAACCCATGCTGATAACAGCCTCATTAACCAACATCATATATTTTACCAGAAATAGTTTAGAAACAAAACATTGAGATTTCAATCAATAACCTTAACATGTAAAATCATGCAATGGTCAGCAACACAACATTGATCATCTCATTTTGGTGGCAATCAAATAAAATATTAAAGCAGAGCAAAACTTTTTTCACATTAATGAACGTTAAATATTTAAATAATGTTCTGATATTAATAACACACAAAGCCTAGTTAACTGAACCTGGATCCTATTAAGGGCCCGCTTTTTTTTAAATGATTTTTATAGTGTAACATAATTTTGTGTAAAAAAATTTACAAAGAAATTTTCAATAAAAGCTTCAAATGAAAATTTGGTTTGAATAATTATTCTTAAAATAAGATTTTAGATATTCATCATTTTCTTGAAACTTTTTTTGGATATTAAAATTTCAAAAAATCACTTAATTTTGAAGCTATTTCAAATAAATTTTCGTAAAAAATATTTTTGAGATCCAACTTTTTGAAAAAATTCCGATTTCGACTATCTTTTGATCTTCAATAATGTATGTTTATGTTATATAATGTCAAATTAGTCTTTCATTTTAGAAAAAACAAATATGAAAAAACTTGTAATATTTTGAAAAATGGTTTTGTAAAATCTATTTTTGAAAATACAAAGAAAAAATCCATTTTTTTAAAGCTGAAAACAAACAGGCCCTAAAAGCCATAACACCATCTCCCACTTCTGGTTGATATATTGCTTAACCTTTGCCAGAATAAAACATGATAACTTTTCTTTTTTTCTTCCTATTATATAAATCTAGGTTTTATTAAAAAGTAACACAACAGTATGGATCTTGACTAGGGTTGTTCAAAAAAAACCATGAACTGAACCGAACCGAACTGAAGTTAAAATAACAGAACCGTTATGCATGGTTAGTGAACCAAACCATATTGCACAAACAGTTTTAGAACCGAACCGAAATTGAAACCGAAACTGAAAATGAAAAATAAGTTTTATTTTTAAAAAAAAAAAATTAAAAAATTTACGGTTATGTTCTTTAATAAATGGTTTGGTTTAGAAAAAGTTAACTTCTAACAGTTCGGAATTTCGAAACGGTATACCAAACCAATGATTATGGTTCGGTTCAGTTTTGAGTAAATTGAAACGGGTTTGGTTCAGATCTAGTACTTTTTTATGGTTTGGTTCGGTTCAGTTTTCTCACTAACCATACCATGAACAACCCTAAGGTTTTTGATATTTACACAATGAAAACTGAGTCTCATCAGTTAAATTATTCCTACAAAGTATCAACGATAGTTATTCAGCTGCGATTTAAAACCCTAGTTATAACAAACTCATCGAATTCATATTCTAACTAATAAAAGCCTCACAACAACACACCACACAACATTCAGCAGCAAAATCATATTATTATTTTTATTTTCTAAGCCTAAAACTTGCTTCTTTTCACTATTACCCTTCTTAACTAGACTAACACCTAAACTATAAATCACAAGAAACCTCTAAAATGAATTAAAACAATTACAATATAACTTTCAATATTAATTGCAGTATATGGGCAGAAAACACAAACCCTGGCAGGTGCGGCGCAGAGAACAGGCTTGGGGCATTGCAATTCAAGCAACAAACGAGCATCCTCCGCTTGATGAACAGAGACAATCTCATCAACAGCCATAAAGAACGATTCACCCGAAGCATCAAATTTGACAAGCGACGCTTCTTTATCTAACCGGCAACAGAAGCTCCTACGACCACGAACAAGGTTAACCATAGCAAAGCAGTTATCACGCGAAACAGTTAGCGCAAGCTTCCCGGAAGGATGAAGAGCAAGATCATTAATAGCTTTCTTATGAACAGGAAGTGTCTTAAGGTGAACGAAACCGTCGGCATCAAAAATAGCTAGGGAACCGTCGGCGTCAGCAGAGACGAGATTGCGAGGGAAAGGAAGATGAGGAGGAGAGTAGAACGAAAGAGCGGTGACGGTTGATGAGTGGTGGTTGAGGGAACCAAGGGAGGAAGCGGCGGAGAGATTGTAGAGATGGATTGTATCGTCGGAGCCGCCGGAGGCAACGACGGAACCGGAAACGGCGACGGATTTGATTAGAGAGAGATGGGAAGGGTAAGAGAAGAGAGGGTTTAGGGTTTGTTTATTGGGATTGAGAGTGAAACCCCATATGAACCTTTCGTATGAGCCTGCTACCAGGCTTATTCTCCTCTTCTCGCTCATTGTTGTGTTTACGACGCCTCTTGGTGCTGATTGTGTTTCTGTTGTTCTGTTTTACTCTCTCGTGTTGTATAAACCCTAAACCCTTTCTATATTCTAAGGATGTATTTGGTTTGAGAAATAAATTGAAAGGAAAGAAAATAAAAGAAGAAAAACAAATATATATATTGGTTTTACTATGTTTTTTATCCCTCGAATATATATTTTTTCCTTTTAATCTCAATATTTTTAATAGTTATAAATATATTAACATGTCATCACTTTAAAAAAACCAACGTGTGGGTCACTTGTAGTTCGTCGGGTGACTTATTTTATTTGCATTAAATAATAGTAAAAAATATTTCAGATTGGCGGACGTTGTTTCATTAGACTAACTCTAGTGTTGGATTTTCATTGTAGTTTGTCAGCTGGCCCATTTTATTTGCATTAAATAATAGTGAAAAACATTTCAGGTTGACGTTGCTTCATTATGCAAGCAATGATCAATGCCTTTTCAATTTATTAAAATATAATAAATATAAAAACTAGTCGTTTCAACGTCTACTTATTTATTTGTTTTATTTTTTAAAATTTATTTTTTATTATAAATATAATTTTGGTTTTCAAAAATTTACCAACACAAATTTTTTTCACTTTTATTTTCTCTTCAATTTGAAATTTCTCTCTAACAATTTCATCATTTTATTCCTATACTTTTAATTTTTTTCAATAATTTTTTCTCATTAGCATTTTTTTTTACAAAATATTTAACTCAAAATTTCATCTTTTTACTTCAAATTACAATTGTTTAGGCCAAATGGATACTAATCATTTTCATTATCAACAAGCTTTTTTCAATTACATGCAAAATTCTCAAAATCCTAATCCTCAAAATTCTCAAATTCCACTAGTGTCAACAAACCCCGCCATATTTCTTCCGTCACCAAACAATCCAAATATGTATCTTATACCTCAAATGAATTCTAATAGTATGGAATTCTCTACTCAAGTTCCATCATTTTTTACTCAAGTCCCACCATTTTCTACTCAAGTTGGTATTGAAAAAGAAGAAAGGGTTGTCGTTAAAAAAAGATCTCGACAGCAATTTACAAGGGAATAGGATATACTACTTATCCAATCATGGCTCAATGTTTCAAAGGATCCAATTGTGGGAGTTGATCAAAAGGCTAAGAGTTTTTGGTTAAGAATTGCTGCTAGTTATAACCAATATCGTGGGCAATTGCGGGAAAAGTTAGGGGGACAGTTAAAATGTCGATGGCATAAAATAAATGGCATGGTTCAAAAAATTGTTGGGTGTTACAAAATTTCTCTTAAAGGAAAGAAAAGTGGGACATCCGAGACCGATGTCATGGCAGATGCACATGCTATTTTTGCTCAGGATCAAGGTACAACATTCAATCTTGAGTATGCATGGCGATTGTTAAAAGATGAAGTTAAATGGCGCATCGTCGAAGAATCGATTGGAAGTTCTGCAAAAATAACAAAGACTTATGCTAGTGGGGCATCATTGGAGAACCCAGATACAACTTCAAGTTATGAGTTTAACTCATCATCACCAATGGAGCGTCCAATGGGACAAAAAGCAGCAAAAAGGAAGGGTAAGGCATCAGAAATTCCAAATGTAACGCAAGATGCAAAGAATAAAAGAGCAATAACAATGGACAGACTTACGCAAGCTAAGGAGGACGAGCTAGAATTAAGGGTAGTGCAAATGATGATGAAAGACACTTCTACTATGAACGATGGTCAACGAGATATTCATGAAAAATATTGTAATAAGATGAAAAAAAAATATGGAATGTAGTTAGTATCACTTATGTAAAATGGTCATTAGTACCACTTTAATTTATCAACACCTATGTAAAATAGTCATTAGTACCACTTTAATTTATCAAAACCTATGTAAAATGGTCATTAGTCGTTATTCAAACTACCACTTTAATTCAAACTAGCCGTTATTCAAACTAGCCGTTATTCAAACTAGCCATTATTCAAACTAGTCGTTATTCAAACTAGCTATTATATATACTACCACTTATGTCATTGTTCTCTCATTCTCATTCTTCTTCTCATTTTTCTCTTATTCTTTACTCACTAAATGGATTCAGACAATTCAGATACTTACGATCAAGAATTTTGGGAGTTGGTTGAAGAAGAATTTATGGACGACAGTGATGAAGAACAACAACTTCAAAATGAACGTCGATCTAGAAGTTCCTCTAGGCCAAAGAGAAGAACAACGGTAGATCAAGGTCGTGAAAAAGGGCACAATTGATTATTCAATAACTACTTGGAAAACCTAGTATACACAGATGTTCAATTCTGAAGAAGGTTCAGAATGCATATGCATGTATTTATTCGAATTGTATTTGTGCATTGCATCCATAAAGCATCATATCATTCCTAGTTTCAAGGAATTCAACAGTCCTTCGCAAATTTTCTTTAAAGAAAAAAAAAGTCCTACATTTAAAGTCTAGATTTTTTTTCCAGCTTTCCTAAAAAAGGAGTATTTGCAATCGGCCGTTGAAATTCTTGAAACCATTGCATGGCATTAGCATCATATTTTTGCATTGCATTCTCCACCCGGTTTCTCATTCTCGTTTCTCTCGTCTTCCAGTATTCCTTTGAGTCGTCAAGTTGATTCCTCGACACAGATATCAGACTAGAGCTAACTATAGACGCAAGATGTCAGAACAAGAAGCATATAATGCAAAAATCCGAATGGAGATCGATGAGTTGAAATCAGGCATGACCAAGCTCACCAGAATGCTTCAAGTACTGATTGCTAGAGGAGAGCCACCTCAGAGGTTAGAAGAAGGTTCAAAAAATGGTAGGGTATCCAAAGCTGCCAAGTCTTCTAAGGGTACAAAGAAATCCTATGGGAATTTCCGTAAGAAGAAAGAGGAGCAGACCAATGTTGTTATGTCTGAATCAAGAAAGCCTCGCCATGGAATTTGTCCTGTTGATAATCATGTTGTCGCTCCACGGCCGGCTCAGACTCCTCAACGTCCAGTTATTAGACTAGGTCAGTCTCGAAATAGGAACCAATTTGATCTTATTCCCATGACTTACACGGAACTTTATCCTTACCTGATTCAAAAAGGGCTGATCACTACAAGGGCTTTACCACCTGCTCCTAATCCTTCGCCAATTGGAGTCAGGACCGATTTCCAGTGCGCTTTTCATGAGGGTGCCCTAGGCCACGATTTGGAGCATTGTTTTGCACTAAAAGTTAAAGTACGCGAGTTGGTCAGAAAAGGAATACTTAATTTTACAGATAATTCTCCCAATGTTCAGAAGAATCCTTTGCCAACACATCATAAGTGAAGTTCCGGCCGGTTTTGATCTAGTCACTAGGCTTTTGTTTCTCGTTGTTTGTACTTTCCTTATTTTATTAGTTGTTTGCTTTCGAACTATGTTTGTACTTTTACATTAATGAACTGAGCATTACAACTTTTAATTTCAATTCATTTTATCTATTATTTGCATCTTTATACTTTATCATTCAAATATTTACTTCTTGTCCAATTTCTTGATATGCGAAGATTGGAGGGAGGATGACGAAAACGTTATACCCATAACTGCTGTCAGTATGCTTTCAATCAAACTTTGTTGACGATGTAAGGCATTGTTTCAATCCCCAAACACTGGAGAAATAAGAAAGTTAATCTCTTGTCAACCCCTTCGAGCCTAGAAGTTGGAGTTTCTTTCTTTACAAAAAACCCGCAATCTTAACTTAGGGCATAGGTAGTTCTCAGTTAACTTGGTTGTGTGTTTCTTGCATTACACCTTTCGTATAAAGGTCACATTCTCAATTTTCCTTCGCACACAGCAAGTAAGTGTCGAAGATGTTTTCCCAAATCAAAAGTCGGTGATGGTTCACCGTGATCATTAAAACTAGGCAGTCACTTTCTTTCAAAAAATATATATATCAAAAGAAAAAGTCCGCTAAGTCCAAAACCTATGAAGGAGACTTAGGCAAAAAAAATTGGGGCATCCCGCTGACTGTAAACTTTAAAAGAAACAGTTCAGGCAAAATTTAGAGATGATAAAAAGATGAGAGTTCTTAAATCCTTACCCGAAAAATCCTTAATGTCAAAACAACCATATGTTATAAGGAAGTAGTGGCTGCCTTTTCATAGGTTCCTTGACTTCTGAACCATCATTGCTATCATCAGTGCAATTCCTAACCTATAGGGACCTGAATGCATAATATGAGTTAACTGAGCGTAGGACTGAAGGTCATCACGGAGAATGGGTGGGTACAAATAAATTTTAAGCCTTTATCCTTTGTTTCATAAACCGTGAACCAGGCCACATTACAACCCTCAAAAGACCTAATTGAAACAAGGTTATTTTGAAAGCATACTACAGCAAGGTTACATAACCTGACTCCTAAAGATCTTTAGGAATCATTTATTTTGGCAGTACACCTTTGTTTTAAACTTTGAGCGTCTTGAACCACCGTGTTCTGACCGACGACTCATTTATTTTTCCATTTTTCAAAAACAATTTTTATTTCAAAAGTTGCGTGAACTTTGCATTACTGGGTTGGTATGAATATTTTTCTTTGCAAACTGGCTTTCCTCTAAGGAATTTTTTAAACAAACGAGAAACTTGGTCGGTGATCCTCTCAGGGGCAAGTTTATCTTACACCAAGATTTGGTTTATCCTTAGGATTTTTTCAAGACTCGGACTGGGGCAAGCCTCCGAAGGCACAGTAAAACAGTCACTTTCATGACTCAGACAAGTTGAAGCAATTATTTGGGGCAATTTACTTGAAATATCTCCAAGCAGCTCTTCATCCTTACTACAAGGACCATTAACTTAATACAGTTTACCAGTATGGCAAAGATGTGCCCGTCAATAACATCTTCGGTCTCCAAGCAGTAACCTTGATCTCCGTGTTGAGGAATCAGTTTTCTAATCTTGTCATCTTACCAGAAGAGTCGAGCCTTGTCGTCGACGTCTGCATTTGCATTTGATCATATCTCATAACATAG